GAGGCAGAAAATTAAACCTATTGAGATGCTCTGGTGGGCCTGAGGCAGAAAATTAAACCTATTGAGATGCTCTGGTGGGCCTGAGGCAGAAAATTAAACCTATTGAGATGCTCTGGTGGGCCTGAGGTAGAAAATTAAACCTATTGAGATGCTCTGGTGGGCCTGAGGCAGAAAATTAAACCTATTGAGATGCTCTGGTGGGCCTGAGGCAGAAAATTAAACCTATCGAGATGCTCTGGTGGGCCTGAGGTAGAAAATTAAACCTATTGAGATGCTCTGGTGGGCCTGAGGTAGAAAATTAAACCTATTGAGATGCTCTGGTGGGCCTGAGGCATACAATCTTGAGGACCACACGGGTTAGAAAATGATCTTTATGTGATATGCATACACTGTCATGGATCTAAGATCTTCTCGATGATAATCGTTATTCGATACTGTTTTTACAGTCCACGAAAGGGCTGGCACTCTCCACTTTTCTCATCAGACGAGTTCTGTCTCTTACTTTTATTAGAGAGAGTTATAGAACGTGTTCAGTGGTTCGTGAACCATCTCGTGCGTGTCAACCAGTGATTTCTTTTACTTGCGTCTCTGAGGGTGAGGAGAGAGCAATTGTGACGAAGATCATGTGTAATTAGTAACATAATTAGTAAGATAATTTTAAAACTCGTGAGAGATTCTGATAACATTTTGTAGAATTCTTAAACATGGCTTCCTCACCCAATTCATCAATAAATGATGTATAACGCACTCACGCACACAGAAATGATAAGTACAATTACATTCAGTGCGGACTTTCAGGGCACATCTTCAACTTTTTAATATATGTATTTTAAAAAAAAAAATCCAAGTATATTTGATCTACAGTGTAGACTGCAAGAATTTGACATTTTCTCCCTCCATTACTTTTCAGGCGATATTTTACTTCAATTTAAAAATAACTTTTCTCGTGAAGTTTGTTTTCTTTCTGTAGCTACCGGTATGTTTAACTTAGTTATAAAGGTTCTTTAGCTACCGGTATGTTTAACTTAGTTACAAAGGTTCTTTAGCTACCGGTATGTTTAACTTAGTTATAAAGGTTCTTTAGCTACCGGTATGTTTAACTTAGTTACAAAGGTTCTTTAGCTACCGGTATGTTTAACTTAGTTACAAAGGTTCTTTAGCTACCAGTATGTTTAACTTAGTTACAAAGGTTCTTTAGCTACCGGTATGTTTAACTTAGTTACAAAGGTTCTTTAGCTACCGGTATGTTTAACTTAGTTACAAAGGTTCTTTAGCTACCGGTATGTTTAACTTAGTTACAAAGGTTCTTTAGCTACCGGTATGTTTAACTTAGTTATAAAGGTTCTTTAGCTACCGGTATGTTTAACTTAGTTACAAAGGTTCTTTAGCTACCGGTATGTTTAACTTAGTTACAAAGGTTCTTTAGCTACCGGTATGTTTAACTTAGTTACAAAGGTTCTTTAGCTACCGGTATGTTTAACTTAGTTATAAAGGTTCTTTAGCTACCGGTATGTTTAACTTAGTAAAGGTTCTTCAGCTACCGGTATGTTTAACTTAGTAAAGGTTTCTTTAGCTACCGGTATGTTTAAATTAGTAAAGGTTCTTTAGCTACCGGTATGTTTAACTTAGTTATAAAGGTTCTTTAGCTACAGGTATGTTTAACTTAGTTATAGGTTCTTTAGCTACAGGTATGTTTAACTTATAGGTTCTTTAGCTACCGGTATGTTTAACTTATAGGTTCTTTAGCTACCGGTATGTTTAACTTAGTTATAAAGGTACTGTAGCTACCGGTATGTTTAACTTAGTTATAGGTTCTGTAGCTACCGGTATGTTTAACTTAGTAAAGGTTCTTTAGCTACAGGTATGTTTAACTTAGTTAAAGGTTCTTTAGTTCAATCTGTGCGTAGCTTAGTGGGCTACAATTATTTAAATAATGTTTACCAGACTCAATAACATAAAGGAGATGTAATGGGACAATTTTAGAGCAAAATACTGAATTTAATTTGTTTAAATATACAAATTTGTCATGCCATTTACCAGAGTAAAATATCAACATTTTTACATTTGACATGCCAAACATCTATCTCACTATTCCGCTCTATTTAATTCACTCTTTTGTTCTCCAACATAAAAAAAAAGTATTTTGTTGTATATACTTTTTCCCCCCACTTTAACTTTAAAAGAAAAAATTATGAATTTGAAGAAGAGAATAATAAGCTATTACTTAAGTTGAGATTGGTTTATCCTCTATCAAATTTAAATCACAGGTCCTTGGTCGAATTGCATTCTTTAAATGGACTGTTCTCTCATTTAAATTTAAACACCCTAATGAATGATTTGATGAAGCTCCTAACAGAAACAGTCAAGGTGCACACCTAACAGGAACACGCAAGGTGCACACCAAACAGAAACACTCAAGGTGACACAAAACAGAAACACGCAAGGTGACACAAAACAGAAACAGCAAGGTGCACACCAAACAGAAACACTCAAGGTGACACAAAACAGAAACACGCAAGGTGACACAAAACAGAAACAGCAAGGTGCACACCAAACAGAAACACTCAAGGTGCACACCAAACAGAAACACTAAAGGTCCATCCCAAACAGCACCACTCAAGGTGCACTCCAAACAGAAACACTCAAGGTGCACTCCAAACAGAAACACTCAAGGTGACAAAACAGAAACACTCAAGGTGCACACCAAACAGAAACACTCAAGATGCACACCAAACAGAAACACTAAAGGTCCATCCCAAACAGCAACACTCAAGGTGCACACCAAACAGAAACACACAAGGTGCACACCAAACAGAAACACACAAGGTGACAAAACAGAAACACTCAAGGTGCACACCAAACAGAAACACTCAAGGTGCACACCAAACAGAACCACTCAAGGTGCACACCAAACAGAAACACTCAATGTGTACGCCAAACAGCACCACTCAAGGTGCACAACAAACAGAAACAGTCAAGGTGCATGCCAAACAGCACACCTCAAGGTGATAACAAACAGAAACACTCAAGGTCCATCCCAAACAGCACCACTCAAGGTGCTCACCAAACAGAAACACTCAAGGTGCACACCAAACAGCACCACTCAAGGTGCACAACAAACAGAAACAGTCAAGGTGCACGCCAAACAGCACACCTCAAATTGCACACCAAACAGAAACACTAAAGGTCCATCCCAGACAGCACCACTCAAAGTGCACACCAAACAGCACCACTCAGATGGAGCACATTCAGATGTTTGGCTTTGACAGTATTCAGCTGTATGGCATTGAAAACACACATCTGTATTGCATTGACAACACACAGCTGTATTGCATTGACAACACACAGCTGTATTGCTTTCACAACACAGCTGTATTGCATTGACACAGCTGTATTGCAGTGACAACACACAGCTGTATTGCAGTGACAACACACAGCTGTATTGCATTGACAACACCCCACTGTATTGCATTGACAACACCAGCTGTCTTACTCTCACTGCTGAGATTTATTGAACAAAGTGACAGGTTCTTACAAAACATCCAGCTTAATGTAACATTCACCTCCGACACATTCCAGCTTAATGTAACATTCACGTCACACACCTTCCAGCTTAATGTAACATTCATGTCCGACACCTTCTGATTTAAAAGAAAATAACATTTGAACCACATCTGCATGTCAGTATTAAATAATTTATTTCCTACTATTATTTCAAATATTCACAGTCTGCAATATAAAAATGCTTTTTTTGTGTGAACATTCACAAACTGACAGAAGACTATCACAATTTCTCATCCAAGTAAACAGCTTCAAATACAGACAACCTCTCCCTTCATATCAAAACGAAACAGTTTAAGTAGATTTTAACATATACACATTTTGAGACGCCATGAGCCAAATGAAAACAATAGATACCAGTATAGGACTATACCCTCTTTTTTAGTCCAGACAAAATGCAACTCATTAAAAAGACCAAAAAAAAAAAAACCCAACTCAATTGAATGGGGATAACATTCCTGGACAAGATTTATATCATGCACCAAGTACTGGCCCATCATGGAAAAGTAATTTTAAAAATATATAATGTTTTCCTTGAATCGATCAATATCTTGTGAATTGGTTTCAATTATTGGACATTTGCTTTTTAGAATTTAAAATAAAAACATCATTGCATGTTTGCTTAATTTTATATGGGCTAAGTGAAATAGGTTATGATGCAATAAATATAGCTATAACTGCAAGGGAATGTATAAGACTAGATTCTATAAGTATCTGTGTAAAATGGGTTGGTCAAGATACCGACCACACAAGACTTTGGTTAAGAAACTCTTTATCTGATGTGGCATCCCATATTCTGAATAAAATAAGTTTTTCTTGTTAATACAGAGTCAACCATTATGGCTATGGAGATTTGTGGAACACAATTGAAGAGTTTGGTTTTATTAAGTTATATCCTGCTTAAACTGACAGAAATGTGATTGAGATAGTTTTAAATTCATGTCAATAACATTAAGTTAAACTGGCAACTATGGGAAATTAAGGAACAACAAATTGTTTACAGAAGATACTCTGTTTGTTTACTGAAGATACTATAAATCTTTACTGAAGATACTCAATTATTTATAGAAGATACTACAAATCTTTACAGAAGATACTCTGATTTTTTACAGAAGATACTATGAATCTTTAAAGTAGAAACTATGAATCTTTACAGAAGATACTCTGATTGTTTACAATGAAGACCAAAAATCATGTCAAATTTCATGTCAACTTACACTACGGTACCACAGGTGTCATCATCACATTCAACAAAGTGTTACAGCACTCTGGTCCAAAGTCAAACAGTGGATGGGAATAGGAGGTTTGATGGGAATAGGAGATTTACTAGGGATATGGTGCTTAAATAAAGAGAATAGGACACTTGATGGAAATACATGGACATGCATAACAAAGGCAGTACCTAAGTTGAAGCTGAACAAACTGTTTCAACCAAGACTTGGTATGAAGCCGGTTTCATTGATACAAGAGGTTATTGTGCTGAAATACCCACTTAGCTCAACATACAACAAAATATAGATCTTTAGTTTAAATACAAAAAAATAAAATAAAACCATGGTTATATCAAGATGATGAAATCTGCTTCCCTTTGTGTCTAGATCATGTACAATATCAACAAAGTTACACAATTTACAACATAATTTACCCACAATGTTTCATAGTTGTTGTTATATCATAGACAGTGAGTGCGGAGATGACAACAAGTAACAATGACAAATGCATGACTGCACTTTCCATCAAACATTATTTTATAACAGCTAAACCATGACAGAGGTGGGCAACCCTTCCATGGATGAATGACAACAATCGACATATCTTTTATGGGAAATTGGCCGACGTGGAAACTGACATTTAGGAGGGGAGGTACCATTTTTTCCACCCAGCATTCGAAGAACCCCGAAACCTCTAAACATCAGGCTAGAGAAGTTTAAAAAAAGTAAAATCAAAGTGTGTATGTAAGAGTGATTAATAACGTTATGTAAGAGTGATTAATAACGTTATGTAAGAGTGATTAATAACGTTATGTAAGAGTGATTAATAACGTTATGTAAGAGTGATTAATAACGTTATGTAAGACAGAATTATTGAATTAAGTGAACGATACATTTTAGTTTAATAGTCAGTACTGCCCTGTTACTTGAACAGTATTTTACAAATCCTTCTTGGTGTTCTTCATGCTAGCATCTAGAATTTAAAGAAGCAAATCAAATGTATCAGACACTTTGAGAAGTTTCAAGCTTTCTGACATACAACAATGCAAAATGCATCAATCACATATGCTGTTTAAGTTGGTTGAATCCCAAATTCAACAAAGTGAAATTATAAAGAACTTAGTTACTAAAAATCTTTAGTTAAAATATATCAACTATAAAATGATTTTTATTGAGTAAATCATTTTTAAAATGAGTCCTAGGATTCAAATGTCACCCCAAAAAAAAACAACAACATTGTGATGTCATGGAGCACCCACCCCTGAACTGTGGTGTCAAACAAACGTATGTTTAAACCTGGACAGTAAAATATGAGATGATATTTAATAGAGATATATTAGTTCAATGGAAAAATGTCTTCCCTGGTCAAAGAATGACAAAATAAGCTATACAATGGGATACTCCCTGGTCAAAGAATGACAAAATAAGCTATACAATGGGATACATCAATGTGATGTGGCTTTGTTAACATCGTTGCTGTGTGTGTCCTCTTGCTGGCAGAGATAGCAATCAGGCTTCACGGTAAACATAACAGATAACAGAAATTGTGCTATACACAAGGCTGAGGTGTACAAGTTATTTAGATGTACATCCACAACGCTAGAAGGATAATGATTCCACTGGCCGCAGGGGAGTTAATAATATACATACAAGATTTATTTAGGGAAAATTTAACAATTAATTACAAACCTGATTTTTTTTTTTTGGTAGATCCACAAGTGGGAAATATAACACAAATAAACATAAATTTCAGTGTCAACATGTATGCCTGCTGTGGAAACACAAAATGTGCAACTGATTTTTATCAATAATAACACTTCTCGTCTTTGCCAACTCGGTCAGGGGCAGACATAAATAATATAACACTGTTAGGTATCACATTCATGTTAGGACTCCACATCAAATACTTCATGAAACCACTCACCTAAGGTACTCCACACCTACCAGCTTTATCTTGAAATTTTACTATTTTTTGAAAATTCAGTGATGAAGGTCACATGTTACAATGATTAAAGTCAATGAAGAGGTCACCATGTAAGCACTTTCACATATTCTCATACACACTTCTATTTCATCACTACCAAGCCAAGGCAGAAAAAATTTGAGTTTAATTAAACAGGAACATAACTAGCATGAAACATAGACAGAATGCTGTAGACACAAATCTCTCCCTAATCCTAACCACAAATTGTTGGACAGAAGGAACTAATGACAAGTTGCTGTCTGAGATTTCAGAGGAACAATACTATTAATAATCCAATCTTCCAACTGCTGTCTTTCCATAGACACCTGGTCCACTTAATGTGAACAATTTGGCAAGTTTAAGAAACTTTGAAATAAAATATTCCCATTTGAAAGCTGCTTTGAGGATATGATCTGAGTCAAAACTGAAACCTTGCCTCCACAAGGAGAGGGGAACAAAAACACCCTTCATTATTTAAAAACAAATAAAAACTCAAACTTAAATGTTGTGGCAAATATTTGCAATTCTTATATAAAAATCCCACCAATATCGCTGTAACAAGTTATTTTTCAATATACAAGAATCAGAAATCAATCTTTTAACTATAGAAATGTTTGCCTCCCAGTCAACCTATCCTGTATGCATTGAGCTGGAATATTTCATTTCTTCAAGTTAAACAGTCTATTTACAACTGATAGGCCCATTTTAAAATGCTGGTCTACGTGTGAGCAGAGAGCTGCAAGTTCAATGCCAACAAGTGTAGTCATTCAGTGCCATTTCATTCATAGTCATCTTAAAAATACAAATGGTTTGTCTTGTAGGGTTGTGAGAAAGCATGCACGCATTTCCACAAACCCAAGTGTATGTTTCTTGAATGAAAACAATGTCTTGAGGGAAGTGCTATCTCATTATTGAAACCAACTCCACAAAATCATATTTTCTTAGCCAGTTTTTGATGACCTAGTGTTCAAATAATGGTTGTCCAATGTGGGTTTAAGAGTATTACTTTTAAATAGTTTTAAAAATATAACACTTGTAAACCATTAATCCTCAAGTCCTGGTCCAAGTCCATTTAAAAAAAAAATGCTTTCATTTAAGATAAAATGCTCTCTGGAATGAGAACTTGTCTTTTATGAGCTTGAAGAATGCCTTTGCTCAACCTGCTGCTCTCTTGTCTTTTATAAGCCTGAAGAATGCCTTCGCTCAACCTGCTGCTCTCTTGTCTTTTATAAGCCTGAAGAATGCCTTCGCTCAACCTGCTGCTCTCTTGTCTTTTATAACCCTGAAGAATGCCTTCGCTCAACCTGCTGCTCTCCGTAATATTTTCTGTCTTTGTCTTCAACATCGAAGTCAAGGACCATGAGCTTGGTCTCTTCAGTGCCATTTCTACTACCCACTGCACAAACCAATCTTGTGTTTGAGCAACGCAGACGCCACACAACCCCACCGCTGCCTCCACTCCCCAATGTCACAAGATTGCGGAGGAACTCTCCGGTTTTAAGGTCCCATATTTTAACGGTGCCATCGTCAGAAGAAGTGATGACAAACTTCTTACTAAACTGAAGGCAAGTCACGGCACTCTGATGCTTGTTTGGTCCTGGAAAATGAGCGTGACCAAAATTAAAGTCGGCAAAATAAATAAATGAATAATGCACTCTTCAGTACCTAAAGACAGTTTCTATTATGAAATGTCTAACTTTATCTGTTAATTTAATATTAAATATTTTAAAAAAATTATCTGCAAGCATGTCTTAAAATTTTTACAGACCCTCAATTCTAAAGCTATTAAAAAACTGAACTAAAAATCTGTAAGCACCAAGATCAGTGACAAGAGGGACCACATTCATTAAGCTCAACTTATAAATAAACATTACTTTAACAAAGAAGAAACTAATGTGTAAAAAAAACAACAAAAAAAAACAACCAAACACATGATGCAAATCAAACTAAAAACATCAAGATACATAATTCATTATGTAACAATGTCACTAACGCTAAGGTTCAATAGCATGCAAAATAAAATTCCTGATAACTGAGGTTCTTAAAAATACAGCTAGAGCGTAATAAGTTTTGTTTTGAGGATATGGTGTAAGAAATCTGTGGCATAAAAATGGGGGGGGGGGACGACGACACACACACACACACGACAGAATATTAATATAGTTCATCAGAGGTGGTGGCACTAATTGGGAATCTTATCAAGTGCGTTACTTGAATTTAAGGTTTGTATAGTAAAGCATGCAAAATAAAATTCCTGATAACTGAGGTTCTTAAAAATACAGCTAGAGCGTAATAAGTTTTGTTTTGAGGATATGGTGTAAGAAATCTGTGGCATAAAAATGGGGGGGGGGGGACGACGACACACACACACACACGACAGAATATTAATATAGTTCATCAGAGGTGGTGGCACTAATTGGGAATCTTATCAAGTGCGTTACTTGAATTTAAGGTTTGTATAGTAGCTTTAGTAGATGGAAAATTGTTTGGCAGGCTATAGCTAGTTAAATAAATAATACACCAACCTTGTAGAGTCTGCAAGCATTGTCCAGTGGTGATATCCCAGACCTTCACAGTTGAGTCTGCATTGCCAGACACTAGGATATTATTTTTCAACTCGAGGCCACTGGTCAGAGATTGATGACCTATCAATGTGTGCAGGCAGTTGCCAGACTCTACATCCCATACACGGATTGAAGTATCCAGAGAACCACTGACAACATGGACACCATCAAACTACAGGATAAACAAACATACAAAGTGAGATTCCAATTTATCAACCAAATAACTTTAATAACTTTCTGTATATTTACTTAATCCCATTTGGAATGGACCTATCAGTACATCAGGGTATCCCACCTATCAGTACATCAAGGTATCCCACCTATCAGTACATCAAGGTATCCCACCTATCAGTACATCAAGGTATCCCACCTATCAGTACATCAGGGTATCCCACCTATCAGTACATCAAGGTATCCCACCTATCAGTACATCAAGGTATCCCCACCTATCAGTACATCAGGGTATCCCCACCTATCAGTACATCAGGGTATCCCACCTATCAGTACATCAAGGTATCCCCACCTATCAGTACATCAAGGTATCCCCACCTATCAGTACATCAGGGTATCCCCACCTATCAGTACATCAAGGTATCCCACCTATCAGTACATCAAGGTATCCCACCTATCAGTACATCAAGGTATCCCAACCTATCAGTACATCAGGGTATCCCCACCTATCAGTACATCAAGGTATCCCCACCTATCAGTACATCAGGGTATCCCCACCTTTCAGTACATCAGGGTATCCCCACCTATCAGTACATCAAGGTATCCCACCTATCAGTATCAGTACATCAGTGTATCCCCACCTTTCAGTACATCAGGGTATCCCCACCTATCAGTACATCAAGGTATCCCACCTATCAGTACATCAGGGTATCCCCACCCATCAGTACATCAGGGTATCCCCACCTATCAGTACATCAAGGTATCCCACCTATCAGTATCAGTACATCAGGGTATCCCCACCTTTCAGTACATCAGGGTATCCCCACCTATCAGTACATCAAGGTATCCCACCTATCAGTACATCAGGGTATCCCAACCTATCAGTACATCTGGGTATCCCCACCTATCAGTACATCAGGGTATCCACACGTATCAGTACATCAGGGTATCCCCACCTATCAGTACATCAAGGTATCCCCACCTATCAGTACATCAAGGTATCCCCACCTTTCAGTACATCAGGGTATCCCCACCTATCAGTACATCAAGGTATCCCACCTATCAGTACATCAGGGTATCCACACCTATCAGTACATCAGGGTATCCCCACCTATCAGTACATCAAGGTATCCCCACCTATCAGTACATCAAGGTATCCCACCTATCAGTACATCAAGGTATCCCCACCTATCAGTACATCAAGGTATCCCCACCTATCAGTACATCAGGGTATCCCCATGTAGAAACTTCTGCCCCTGAAGACAGAGGCCAAAGTAAGTGTTCTGCGCTCTTCTGACAAAAATGTCAGATCAAGACTTCAGGAGAATTTTGTTTATAGTGTTTGCCAAAATACTGCTAAGTAGTTGCTTATCTACAGAATAAATTAATTAAGCAACACGGGTTTTAAAATAAAACAACTTAAAAGAAATTCAATGAAAATAAAATACATTAAAAAGAATTGAGAGACAGCATTCAAAAACAGGATTCCAAAAAAATCATTATCCAACAGAAAGCCTCACTTGTAGGGAATAAACTCTGTTGGAATGTCCTTGAAGTGTGTGGAGGCAAGTCTCTGTTTCAGGATCCCACACACGCACCGTGTAGTCGTAGGCACCACTGACTACACGCTTACCATCAAACTGAACACATCTCACCGCTGCCACGTGCCCCATAAGGATGTGTTTACAAACTCCGGTGTCAATGTCCCAGACCCTTAATGTGGCATCTCTTGACCCACTTACAACTCTGAGAAAGAAAATACAATGTCTGACAATTTGTGGGAGGAAGAGAGAAACATTTTTAATGTATAGCATTCTATTCTCTTGTGTATGAGTCTTTACTGCAACAAAAAAAAAACTGTCTATACCAAACAAAAAATTGTGCCAAAAGTAGGAAAGATTCTAAATTATGTATTCATTAAAAATTTTGTATAAAATGTATCTACTCACTGGTTACCGTGTAATGACATACACCGGACAGTTGAGGAATGACCATATAGTGTATGTCTACACTGCCCTGTCTCAGCATTCCAAACTTTCAGGGTGCGATCTGTTGAGCCACTAATTACCACTGTACCTGACATCTGAGATGACCAGACACCCCCGGTATGGCCAATAAGTGTGCGCAAACACTGGTGACAAAAAATTGTAGATTTTACAACTCTCAAATCTTAAAAACATTGCAATAGACTCTAGCAATTTTCTGCCTGAATATATTTCAGAGCTCTATTTCAAACTGAGCTGAAGAGAAACATTTCTGAACATACCTTCCCTGAGGTAACAGACCAGACTTTGAGCGTGTTGTCATCTGAACCACTGACCACTCGATTTCCACAGAACTCTAGGCATGTGATCACATGATCGTCATGACCTTTAAGAATCTTTTTTATAAAAAAATATGAGGATATCAGAAATTATAAACGGAAGAATGAATAATTGATGATTATGTGGTTAATATTATTACCGAAAAAAAGAACAACTATAAAATTACAACATACATAAGGTTAAAATATCATAGCTGGACAAAGCTATAAAAAATGTATAATTATTTTGATAGCTTTCATCAGTTACTTCTATAGACAAAGCTTACTTTAGGAGGACGATTGACCCCTGTCCTCCAATTGTGCTCTATCTGAGATTGACGCATAAATAGTGATTTGAAAGGACTTCGAGCCGAATGACGTCGACGCATGCGAGACCCATATACGGTCTCTTCATCAATACACTCCTCTCTACATTTTTCTCGCCACAATAGATTATCTTCAGCAAGGACCCGCCAGTACCTACAGGTCTGGGCCGCTCTTAGCAAATCTTTTGGCTCCAAAAATGACAGAACATATAACGCCAGCTGGAAAAGGAGGAAATACATGTGCAGAAAAGTGTTTGAGAAAATAGAGACAAAAGTAAAAGGAATCCAACCCTTTGTTACAAATTATTCTTTTCATGTTTGGATTTAGAAAAAAAAGATAACTAGGTCAATGTGTCATTCTCAACATCCTGCGGTTATTTGATTTTAAATATAAACAATTAATATATTTATTAATGAGTGGGAAAACAATTTTGACCTCTTAAATACAAAAAAAAAATAAGCCATTAAGATTTATAAATGAAATCTAGTAAAGAAAAGACAATTTTATGAACAACTATTTGATGTCACGAATAACATGACATTGAAAACGTACCTCTTTAGGCAGAAGAGAGATAAAATCCCTCTGGAACTGAGGTTCTATAACTTGCATCATGTGCCGCACTTGTGTTGGATCGCACAGGTTTATCAGCTCATCCACTGCCATCATTCTTTCAGCATTGCCCCACGCCTTTAGGAAATATTCATTAAAAACATTACTATTACAAAAGGGAAAGGGATACAATTTTTTGAATTTTAGATATATATAACTACAGCTCCTATATAAAAATTTAAGAAAGAAGTTTGTTGTGTTTTTGGAAAATTCACCTGAAATGTTTTTAGCCAGTCATCCATTTTAGGAGGAGGATTGTCTTTGGATGGAATTTTGCCACGTGGCATCTGTGCTAACCGCCATCTTGGAACTTTGGCAAGACTCTGTCCACACACGTGACAACTAAAATAGGCAGAAATGGTAAAACAGTTTTTAACTAGAACTCAGGGGAACAAGGTACAATGAATATCTGATGAAAACTTAGAAGAAATATAATTTATGTTGTTGCCAATAGATCACAAAAATTTATTCACTTAACACTTTTTTTAAATTGGGAGCACATCTTTCATTGATTACAAAACAGCAACTGTATCAAAAACATGTAATCTGGAGACACTATTTACCTTACTACCGCAGTTCTGAGCTTTTTCCCAGGAGACATGTCAGCATCTCTGTCATCTTCTGTTTCAGACTTCCTCTTCAAAGGCTGTAAAAAAATTTTTTTAGTAACATCTTTGTTAAATGACATGAGTGATCGATAACTAAATCAAACAGGACCTTTTATTTGTAGTGAAAATAGCAAAAGATGTCTCAGAGAAATAATTGCAGTAATCTCTCAGATACCCAACTTCAGAAATCCGTGATCCCCTCTCAGTTCCCTAAGCTTTTTAGTATGATGCAGAAGACAGTGGAGTCAGTTAAGCACTGGATGACAATGAACAATCTCAAACTGAATGATGAAAAGACCGACCTGATTCCCATTGCTACCGCTCAAAAGCTAAAATCTGTAAATAACACAGAATCCCTTACTCTCTCAGGTGTGCAGATTGAGTTTGAAACAGTGTGAAACCTTGGTGTTTACTTAAACAGAACACTAACTATGGAAAATCACATTAACATGCTTTGCAAGGCGATTTTTCTAGAGTTGCGCAGAATTAGTCATATCAGACCTTTCTTAACGTTTAATGTAACTATGAGGCTGATGTCTGCATTCATGCCATCATGCATGGACTACTGCAATGCTCTCATGGTTGGTCTTACAGCTAAGCACAGAATAATGCGGCTCCCATCGTTCTTCATAAGCGCAAATTTGACCATGCTAAAACACTTCTGAGAGAGCTGCATTGGCTGCCGGTCCGTGCTCGCATAGAGTACAAAATTGCAACTCTGTGCTACCGCTGCTTGCATGACCTGGCGCCGTCCTATTTCAAAGCGCTCATGACGCCTTATGTACCCAGTAGACAACTCTGCTCATCCGAGAGTGGCAAACTCTCTATACTGCGTGTTCGCCTTAAGACTTATGGAAGGCGCACTTTCGCATTTGCTGGCCAAACAATTTGGAACACCCTTCCTGTCGCTCTCAGCCAGACACTGGAATCTTTCAAAACCGATTTGAAAACACATCTATTTCGCAAACATGTGCCGGGGGGGGGGAATGTTGTCTACCATCTTTTACAGCTAGCTATTATCTTCTAGATGTATATTGGCTTGTGTTGTTTATAGTTGAATGGGATAAAAGACTGTGAATGGCTATGCTCGTTTGTAGTTTTTGTAGTGTTGCAATTTGTGTTTTAATGTGGTAAAATTTAGATTGTTTCATTTCTTTTTTAATTTGGTTGACTTTGTACCGTGCTTCGAGCCTTTGGGGATGAAGCGTGATTTTTAAAAAATAAACTTTATTATTAATATTTATGTGGCGTTATTTGGTTTTTGGAGATTTTATCTGTTTTAGGATTTGACTCGTTAGATTTATAATTAAGTAACAAGGAACTGACAACCAGTATACACAGAAAAATTATACCTAAGCTAGTAATATTGACAATATTCAACTTAGTTATACTATTAAGTTGATATAAAAATTACAAAATCAAATATACATAAATTAAAACTATTATATCTTACAGCACAGCAAGTGAAAAAAGTATAATCCTTGAAATAGACAAATATAAATATAGACATGTCGTAAATATCTAGGAAAATCTGCAAAAATCTCTCCTGGTTAGGAAAGCTGTTGGCTTATTAATAGATAGAGAGTTAGAACCATACTGAAAAGAAATTCTCGAAATTGCATCACCCAATAGAAATCTTTAGAACAAATAGAACTTAAACAGCCTTTTCCCAATCACGGGAGGGATGCATTGGTAGAGCTTTACAAATTTAATAAGTGATGTCAATATCAAAAGAAAAAAAAGCAGACAAGTAGTTGAAGCAAAATTAGGTCAACACATAGGCGTGGAAAGTGGTGAAAGTGACTCCAGTACATATCTCACAACATGGAGTTAATGCATATGACAATTTTTGTTAGCTAAAATCTAACAACTTTAGAATGATGAGCTATGAGTGTGTTTTTATCATTAAACTTCTTTTAAAAAGCAACTCACCCATTTGGAATCACCCTTTTCATCTCTCAGAGAAGAGCAACACCCCGATCTCGGCCTCAAGTTGAAACTAACAGAAGGTCTCTGGTGGTCATCTTCTTCTTCTTCTTCTTCATCTTGATCATTGTCTTCATTATCACAGTCACCATCAAAGCTGTCAGCCGGATGGTTTAGTAGACTTTCTTCATCATCGTGGCTGCCCTCATTGTCAGAAGCACCTTCTTCCAAGGCACCGTTAGCTTCATTGTCCTCAATAAAAATATTATTTAAATTGTTTTGTAATTGAGCTTCTTCATCGGCTGCGGCCGCAGCTATCCTCTCATCTCTCTCATCATCGCCATCGTTGCCGCTATCTTCTTCATGACCCCTGTTATTGACAGGTGCCCTAACAGCACCAGCTCCGCTGCGTGTCACTATGAAACTGGCAGAAGAACTCTCTGCTGGAGGAGTTTCTGATGAACTGCACTGCCCTAGTCGTAGTGCTGCACTCTGAGATCGTGTGAAGTGACAAGGTGTTGGTGATGTATGAGTACAATCAGGCCCACTTCCAGTAGGTTCTAATATGCAAATGTCCAAAGTATCATTCAAGTTCCCACTTTTTCTTGTAGTTCGTCTTTGTCTGTGATGGGGAAAATTAATTTTTTTTTTTCTTTTTAAAGATGTTAAACTTATTTTGTAAATTTGAAATCAAGAAGGCTAGAAACTCGTGCATAAATTGAATATGAAATCTAAATTATAATTTTTTTTTCAATAACAATTAAATTTTAGGCTTTAGTCTATGCGTTTTCTTAAACTTAAGGTAACTAAAGATAAATTACGTTTTTGATTGTCCATTTCTCTTTTTTGCAGGAGAAGGTCTCCGGCAGATGATGCGTCCTTTGTTCTGCTCAATGATGGCGGGGCTAATACCAGGAACTAAGGACAACTCAAGAACACTGTTAAACCCACCACTCTCCTGTCCAGGAAGGAAAATATTATTTTAAAAACTTCTTATCTTACATCCTTTGATATTAAAAAAAAAAGTTAACTGTTAATATATAATTGTAAACTTAAGTGAGTAACTAATAAAATGTAATTTGGTGATCCAGATCTAAACATGTTTTAACAATGCTACCAACCCTCCTATGTTTGAGAATGGCTTCTGCCCTGTGTTGTCCAACACCAGCTAAATTCTCCAGATCACTAACTGTTGCTGTATTGATATCAATTTTTTTTCCTGCCATCAAAACTCAGTTGGCCATTAGCAAAGAGCTGTAGAATTGAAACAGTTTTAGCAACACCAAAAAAAAAAAAAAAAATTAATTCAAAATCTCACAAATTACTTTCCATAGAAAATAACAAACATAAAAATACTTGAAGAGAAATAATGACTGTTTCAACATTTTATTGAACCGCATTTATAAAAAACAACTTAACCTTATAACTGTCAAGTGCATTTTTATTTTCCGTAGAGTTAGGCCTTTATTAGCATTTCATATGCTCGTCAACAATTACCAAATCCCATGCTTAATGGTTTCAAAGACAATTACAAGTATAATTTTTTCTCAAAGTGCATTGGACAAGGAAACTTATAGTATGAAAAGAATTTGTTTTTATATTATGTATGTTTATATTGACCTTTACCTTTACAGAGTAAGTAAAATTTTTACCACTCAACTTCTCATTCAACCTAACCTAATTCTATAAATTGTTCAAACTATTGTTAAATCAAATTTTTGAGATACTAAAAGCAATATTCTTTCAGAAATGTCAAGTTATAGGTACTTATATTGATAATTGTAATTTTGGTGAATATCTTAATGGCATAAACATCAATGTCTTTGAAACTCTTTAGGGTAGGTCTTTGGGACACAAATCTTTTTCTTTTCTGTTCAAATTCTGCCTTTTCCCAAACAAATGTATCTGTAACAATACCACTTAACTTAGGAGTTTTCTAATATGTCAATATCTGACTCTTGTCATAACAATCACTAGAGCTAATACTGTCATAATTAGCAAGTGGAATATCTCCAAAATCATTGCTTTCATTTTAATCCATTTTTTATAATTCCAGTAAAAAAGATCTGTGTTGATTTTGCAATCTAGATGGGGACCATCTCCAGTAATGACATCTGTAAAAATCTTGAGCAAATTTCACATCCCATTAATAAAAAAAAAACAAGCCTTGATTATAGCACATAAACACAGATAAAAATGGAAGCAAAATCATTGATATAGAGCGATTTCTCCTTAACAAATATACATTAAATCATTTGCATCTTAACTAATGATTTTGCTAACCACAGAAAGGCTTATAACACACACTTTTTCTCCCTGAAAATAGGGAGCAAATGATGTGTGCGTGTTATACGCCGATGTAATGTTTAGTTTTTTTTCCTGAAATTTCCTTGTTAAATTGAGGTGCATGTTATACGCAGGGGCGTGTTATACGCCAATAAATACGGTAATTCAAATCACTGGTGTACCATCATTTGATATGGGAAGTAAAATAATTGTTTCCTGGCAGTCTTTTTTTGTTGTTGCTAAGCTGAAAGAAAAGCTGTCAATAAAGAGCCCACACATTTTCATCCATATGACCATTAGCTTGTATTAATGTTGCCTTTAACCAAATAGAAGCAATAAGGTTCCTTGATGAAAAAGATAGACAAATTTCAAAATAAGTATTTGACAAGCTGGATATAGTTAGATCATTACTGGCGTTTGCCCCCATGCTCACAGAATAACATACATAAGGTGGATCTCAAGAAATGTTAAAGTACAGAAGACCCTCAGAGACATGGAACAGATGCCTGGATCCTGCAGACACCTATCACAGGCAGCTAACAGATGTCATTTTTTCAGGTTTTCCCCTACCTAGTTCTACTTATTCCTTTTACCTAACCTGATTGGAGTTTCTCTCCCACCCTCCCCTAACATTAACATCATCATTAACAGACTTAAGTTTCATTCCTTAGATATTGCAATAAGGACCAGTCAGAGAATGGGGACTGAAATTTAAAAAAAAACTCCTTTTAACTTTGTGATATTTCCTTAATATTAAGAAAAAAAATAGCTTTGGTTTATGTGAGACTTAATTTATGTACACCAAAATAAATGCTTTAAATGGAGATAAATTATTTTTTTAAACAAATAAACGAATTAGTTTTTGACATCTAATGAATCAAGCTAATACAAAGCAATGAGGTGAGGTTGCAACTATAAAATTCAAGATATAAACTAATATTATAGTTTTTTTAAAATTGTGCTGTACTTTCCAATCAGACAATAAAAAAGTGAATGATTTATTGAAAATTCTTGAGTTAATAGAAAATAATTTTAGCCAAGAAATATTCCATAGGTTCTGTAGGCCAAACAACAATAACACTGACAACTATCACTGATTGCGCGTGGTGAATTGAAAAAAAAAGTTAAATAATTTAAGACATAGTACATAGTAGTGTAGGCCTATTATTAGTATTACAAACTTAGATTTTAACTGAAGGGCATGGCCTAATAATTTAAAACTATTTAAGAATTTTTACTTTCTGATGTAGGCTATCTGCCTACACCCAAATTTAGTTTTGCAATTTTTCCTGACTTATTTTGCTAAATTAATGTATTTTAAAATATAATTTTTATAGGCGCCTGCTCAGGCTCAAGCCTGCCACTTAGGGCTAGACAGCGATAAGCATAATTCATAATATGAATTTCAATTGTCAATACTATTACGCCATACTCCCATGCCCATACGCTTTCAAAATTTAACAATGAAATGCATATTAGTGTTTATCTCTAGGCCGCACTAAGAGTGGCTGATTTGAGTGAATGATTAGTCCAAGTTGTAGGTTAAGTTAGTAAAGACAGTAAGTAAGCAGCTAAGTAAAATACAGCAATACTAATAGTAATAGTATAGTAATACCCGGGTACGGTACAGCCCACATTCAGTCAGTGACATTCCATATTTTTTCTAGATCCTGTCTAGCCCTTGTAAAGTCATAGGCTTAGTCGTTGTATATTTACTCTAATGAAGTGTTGCACACAAAATTCAAAGCTAATAACTGTCAAGCATACATTCAGATTTATTTTTTTGGTCAGATAGATGATAATGGCAATGGTAAGGGAAAGTTGAAAGTACGATAAAGTCGATATACAATCAGACTCTGAACAGCAGAAGGGGCAGAGAGAGCACCTGTTGTGAAGAGAAAAAAACAACTAATTTCATTAATTTTCTTTACATAACTTACATAGTTTAAGAGGAAATATATATAACCAAAGTGAGAACGCTACTGATAAACACAAATGTTCTCACAGCTGGTAATGAATTCAGCTAACAATTTATTTTGTCAGTAGAATTCAGCCATCTTCGTTCTACACAAGACTTCCTCTGCCTTTGATGTTACGGACAAAGCCGACAACGATCGGAAAACACCGATAAGTTAAAAAAATATAACAATACTTTAAGGAACAAAACACATGCAACAAATGAATATGTTTTAATATACTCAACATAATATTTATATTTTTAAATATTAATAAGTCCAATCGGCAATCCCTTTTTTAGCGTGATAAGTAATCAATATTCAATATTTTGATATATTTTTATTTATTAATTGCATTGCAAAAGATATTGTATCATAAATATTTGGAACTAAACGGAAGCAGCATGTTTTACCGAGGTAAACAATATGGCGGATCAGTATAGGTTTGTATTTCGTTTATCTTTTACTGAATTAACAGAGACGGATGACATACTGATTCTGCTTTTTCAGTTTGAAAGTCTTTAATTCAATGGTTTAAAGTCCAAGTAGGAAGTCCCGAGGAAACAACTAATCCCCCCCCCCCCACTTTTAAAAAAAAACATTACGGGGTGGTGGGGAGGGCCGCACCGGGTACCTCAAAAGGAAAATTTGAATTTGAGAGTTCAAGTCGGCTCATTAAAAATCTAATTTTAAAAAAGTTCAGGGAAGGGTATTTTCAGTTTGAAAGTCTTTAATTCAATGGTTTAAAGTCCCAGTAGGAAGTCCCGAGGAAACAACTAATCCCCCCCCCCCCCACTTTTAAAAAAAAACATTACGGGGTGGTGGTGAGGGCCGCACCGGGTACCTCAAAAGGAAAATTTGAATTTGAGAGTTCTAGTCGGCTCATTAAAAATCTAATTTTTAAAAAGTTCAGGGTAGGGTGAGTTAGGGCAAGGCCGGCACTAGGAGTTGTGGGACCGACACTCGAGGGGGTGCAGGGGCGGGTGAGCGGAAAAAGTTACAGGCAAAAAGTCACAAGTTTTGAAAATTTTGATGGATAACATAGGAAAATGAGCTAAAATTTAGGACGGATGCCACAGCGACTTTTGTGTCTTTATTATGGTTGCAATGAATTAGGGTTTAGGTTAGGTTGAGGGATCGATTTAGGGTTTAGGCTAGACATAGGGATCGATTTAGGGTTCAGGTTAGGCATAGGGATCGATTTAGGGTTCAGGTTAGGCATAGGGATTGATTTAGGGTTCTGGTTAGGCATAGTGCCGCGGCATAGGGATCGATTTAGGGATACATTCGTGAAATTCGATAAAATAGTGGCATTCGTCCTTAAAATTTACCGGAAAATGAAATAAAGTCACAGAAAAAATGTAACAGAATAACTTTTTACCATTACCCGTAATTTTATGTCAAAAAAATTATGTGTAGGGGTAAGTATATTAAATCTATAGTCTATATAATATAAATGAATAAATGTTTATTATAGACTAGTACTGGTACTGACTACTGGTACTGGTAGTAGATATCAGTATCAATAAATGGAATTAATTAAGAGACGGCTCATGAGGATAACCTTAGGATCAATTCTCACTTGGGATTAAAATGGGGGTGTTATTTGTGTGATGTATACATCTTAAAATCACACATTTAATTCTGTGATTTATTCATAAATAGTTATTTTTACTATCTTCATAGACAAACATTCAAATTAGGGGTGTGCCGGAGTCCGGTCCGGAATCCGGTTCCGCCGGATTTTGCACTATCCGGTGAAATCCGGTTCCGCCGGATTTACATGTATCCGGAACAACCGGAATCCGGAATTTACCGGATTTCGGAATTTGCCAGATTTTGTGACTCACCGGATCATAATCTGAAATAAAAGTAATTCTCTTTCCCGAATTCCACACGATCACGATACATTAATCGATTGTTTCGAGCGTTGAGCTTGTTTAATGTTTAATATTCCGTACATACCAGAGGCTAGAGTCAGCACCGCTAATAGTGGCCAATAGTGTAGGGACTTTGATAAGAAAATTTAAACTTTTTGTAAAAATAAACCAATGGCATAGTTGAAAAGATGTAATTTTTTAAAGAATTATAACACCAAAATCATATTTTTAGCTGTTGTAGTTTTAAAGTTATGAATTTTTAAAGTACGACTTGGTTTGTCATTTTTTAACATGGACTGCATCTCCACATTCTGTGATCTCATTCCACCAATCCCGTCATGCGCAATGACTATATAGTTTATATAAGGCAACGCATTCCCTGCCTTATCACTAAAATACTGTTTAGACTTAGTTTAAACTTTCAACTTTGGCACATGAATAATTAATTAAAGCTTTCCCTGACCAATGGTTTAATAGTTTTTGCACACGGCAAACTCTTATGAATGAAACTCTGAGGTAGTACTACGATACAGTTATGCAAGTGGCTGTGAATGGTTGCCAATGACAACGTGTTGCACACGGTAAATTCTGATCATTTATAATATGGATTCTACCGGGTTGTTAAAGCTCAAATTAAAACATTCCAGTTTAAATGTCTTTAAATGCATTCTGAAACACAAGTTATCAATTATTTTGATGTAAATAGTGATAATAAATTAATATTTCCTAAGTATCGTCAACTTCCGCCATTAAAAAGGGGGGCGTGGCCAACCCCATGGCGAAATTAGGTTGAGCGAGCTGCATAACCTGCTGCGAACGCGTAGAAACATGGCGTCTCTCGTAAGACACTTATCCAAATGGAACGGAACTCAAATATATATCGAAAGTACTAATTTAATAATAAATAGACACACACATCGGAAAATTAAAAACTCGGATTTTTTGGCGCCGATTGCGAATTCCCATACACAAAAAGTAGTAGTCCACCTTGACTTACCGAAGTATCTACCAATAGTACCAAAATCCGGAATCCGGGAGAAACCGGAATCCGGATTATTCCGGAATCCGAATCCGGATCCGGCGGATTTCGCATAAGAAAATCCGGATCCGGTTGGAAAAAACGGATCCGGCACACCCCTAATTCAAATGGCTCTTGAATAGATGGTGACGATTTTTGTTGTTCACCATTTCTCCCTATTTCTGTTGTGTAATTAAACAAACCCTCACCATAAAATATCAGACATATATAAGAATGGTTCCACTACCCACTCACATAATATTCACCATGGTTTTTGGTAAGATACAGTAAGGTGGATGTATATTGACAAGATTTATCTCCCTCTAAGCCCTATGGCATCATCAGCTTGGGGAATAACAACTCTTGTAGGAGTGAATGATATGAAGGCCTATGTTCCCTTTTAATTGTAAACCCAAATTAGATGTGAATGCTTTTTTTGTGAATGGTTTTTGGTAAGATTCAGTAAGATGGATAGTGGATGCATATTGACAAGATTTATCTCCCTCTAAGCCCTAAGGCATCATCATCTTGGGGAATAACAACTCTTGTAGTAGTGAATGATATGAAGGCCTATGTTCCCTTTTAACTGTAAACCCAAATTAGATGTGAATGCTTAACTCCATAACTACTTAATAAATAAAACAGTGGGCTATTTCATCAGTTTTTATTTTAGAAATAATTGAAAAATACAAAATATAACCTTTACATTTTCCCCTCCAATTCAGGAAGGATATTTTGTGAATTTATATATAACCCATTTTTACTCTTTGGTAAAAAAACATTTCTTTTTGCCATTTCACATATTCTATAAATTTTGATTTAATTTCAAATTTAAGATGATTCGAATTTTAAAAAGCAGTATAATTAATAAGTTTTTAAAAATAAAAACTATATTTTCTTTTGACAGGATTGCTCAACCTAAAGACTACTACAGACAGTTCTTGGTAAAAATCTATCTTGGCCATGTTTCAAAATGTTTGATTTGTCATTTCTTTGAAAGTGATGCTATAGAGACTAATGTATTCTTTACCTTTAAAAACGAATTGATATGCACTGCTTTTTTCTTTCGGATGCCTTTCTTTCCCCTTTTCTTTTTCTTAGTAAATGTAAGAAAATTGTTTTCTTCATTTTACAGGAGAAAGATGTCAGGCCTGATAATAGAGGGCTTGGGGAATATAGAGCAACCGTCATGAATATTGGTAAGAAAACAAGATGTATTTTAATTTTGCTTTCTTTCTAAAACAGTTTGAATCAAGTCATTTTTGGATAAAAGGAGATAAGATGACATGACTATGCAATTTTCATGCCAATTTACAACCAGTGTTATGTGTTTCATCAGGCTGTGTGTCAACGGCGGAGGGGTCCTCTCTTGTTAAAATTGGAAACACAACAGTCATGTGTGGCATCAAAGCCGTAAGTAAAATTTCCAGGCCAGTAAAACTCATGATAAAATACCACATAATAACTGAACATCTATTTATATTAATAAATTGTTCGTTTTCTCTTCCCTAGATATATATTATTAAATACTTGCTTGCTGTCATAATAGTTTATATTATATTATTAGATCCTATTATCATTCCTATTTAATTTTTATTTACATACTTAGTTTGTGAATTTCATATCATCCAGCTGATTGTTCCAGTGTCATCATTATCAAAAATAATTGTGTTTCATATTTATGGATAGATATTCTGTTTATTCATACTTTCATCTTCATCGTACATGTTAACACACATCATTTTCTCTATAGCAGTTCAACCTTCTTCTGTTTACTTCCATCTTTACACCTTTAACATGATCACCTGTTTATCCAAACACATATCCATATTTGTTTATTTAGCCTACAACCTCAAGCATATTAGACATACACATCGCCAGATATTTTGTGAAAATTCTTCCGCCCTTTTGGCCATAGATATATTTGTATTGTAGCATGCAACGTCTGGTGTTGTAAACATAAACACTTCTCTTAGTTTAGTGTTAAAGTTTTTATTGCTTTTAAACAAAATTCTCATTTCAGGAGGTTGCTGAACCAGGTGTTGATGGAAAAAATGGTTATTTAGGTGCGATTCAACCTAATTTATTATTTTAAAATCAAAATTACATTATTTTAATGTCATTATAATGGCCATTGAACTTGAACATGTTAAATAAAAAAATTAGTGTTGACGGTTGTTCAAGGATATGACCTTATGTTTCTAATGGATTCCATGGTCTGCTCTGCTCTGCTCTGCTCCGCTCCTCCTTCAAACTTTTAATTTTAACTATTGCTAATCTTCTTAATTGCATCCTGAATGTATTTTTCCCAGTTCCCAATGTTGAGTTATCCCCCTTGTGTTCAGCAAACTTTAGACCAGGTCCACCTGGAGAGCTTGCTCAAGTGCTGAGTCAAAATATGGCAGATCTCATAGCAGAGTAAGTCTCATAGATAAGTCTGAACAGATTTTTAAACCAGAAATGTTTTTTTTTAAATAATGGCTAATAAGTAATACACTTTAATTATTATAGTTTCAACATTTTTATTTAACTTTTAAACTAATTACAATGTTTATGAGTTTGCCCTTTGTATTGCCAACAGTTCACAGTGTGTTAAGCTTGAAAATCTGTGTGTATGTCCTGGGAAGGTAATGCTTTAATTATAAGTTACTATTATTTTGTTTTTCATATTTTATGCACAGAATTAGGAACTTTTTTTTTATTGCATTAATTAAGTGAAATGTCAATGTAATGACAGTATAATTATGTGATCTAATTAAAGGAATCAACAAATATTTTTATGAAAGGTTAAACAAGATTGATTTAATTTCTGATGCCTGAAAAAAATTGAGTGCCTAGTAAGCCAATTCATTGTGGTCAGATGGTTGATAGATTGGGATTTTGCTAATCACCATCAGTTATTATTGCGCTTTGGCATTAAGATTAAATTTATTTTCAGCTTGTGTGGGTGCTTCACATAGATCTTGTTTGTTTGGATTATGATGGAAATTTGATGGATGCTTGTACATTAGCCATGATGTCAGCGCTCAAAAGCAGTGAGTCATTAAGTGAATATATTATTATCCGGTTTGGCCCTTGTCTGTTTTATAGTTTTTAAAAAGTCAATGTAGTTTAAGGTAAAAAGAAACAAACAATCAGGGTCAACATTAGTCGTAAGGCTAAATAAAATAGAAGATCATCTCAAAATCTATGACATTGTGTTTGATGATGTTGTTATAAAACAAACACATCTTTTTTGTTTTGTATTTCAGCATCTTTACCGGTTGTAACAGTGGATGAGGAGTCTGGTGAGATCAAAACTGATCCATCTTCACGCACCCTGTTACCTGTGTCATGTTGTCCAGTGTCAACAACTTTAATTGTATTTGACAAGTGAGTCTGTTTTTTTTCTCTCCTCCGACTTTAGAATCCTTTGTATTTGTAAAACCATACCTTGCTTTAGTTAACAAATTTCATGAGATATTTTGACTTTCATAATAAACGTCTCCCAAAAATATGAATTCATAGAATATTTGACTGCTTTTACAAAAATCCATTACAATAAATTAACAAATTGTGTTTTAAAACCTGAAATTCAGAACTTGAAGGAAAGAAAAAGAAATGAAATAAAATTGATTAAAAAAAGTTTCCGTCCTGAAACAGAAATGATATTGTTTTCGTAGATGGTGGAACACTGAGTCAAATTTAAGCATCGGAATGAGAGGCTGGTTTGATGGGGAGGGAGGGGTTGGAGGTGGGCAGAAACAAAATGTTTGGCACTAGAGGTCTCTTTTGATAAAATTTTTATGTACAGCGCGGTGAGCCCAGCCCTAGGCTGGGGTACCGCGCCATGTAAGACCTCTTATTATTATTATTAATAATAGCTGAAAATTTCAGCACTGGAAGTCAGTGATTTTTATGCTACATTTATGTTTCAGTAAACTATTACTAGTTGATCCAACCAGTGAGGAAGAGTCATTGGCAACAGGAGCTGTAACTGTTGTAACAGAAGGCAAAAATGTTTGCAGCATTTACAAACCAGGTGATTGGAGTTGCTGTTCTTTATATTTTTAGTTGAAAAAGGTCATTTTAAAGATGAAACCTATGCCTACTATATATGTGATTATGTCTTTATGTACCGTATGTAGTTTCCTATGTTGTTTAATAATGGTGAAAACCAAACCATGGATAGCAACCTAATTGGACACGGTCATATGTCTTGACCCTAAGATGGTTCCTGGAAAGTTTGAAATCCTTTCACGCCAAAATGCTGTAATTTTTAAATAATCAATTTAGGAGACTGGCATTGTGAAAAAAATCCATTTGATAAATACGGCGACAGTCCATTATAAATAGATGAAAATCTCAAATATTGCAACCGGTCATATTTTTCGGTACTTCCACCGTCCACCAATCATATTTTTCAACCATTCACCGCAAGATATTCTATACTATCTACTCTATAAAGGGCAGTGAGAGAAAATGTAATTTTAAAAATAATTAGATTTACTCTCCAGAAAACAACGGACCAAGCCTGCTCGTTAAACATTCGTCACATTTATAAATACACTTAAATAAATTTACAAAGCAGGTTACATAGTATTTTGTAACTGAGTTGGTCATAAATGATCTCCTGATCTAGTGACCTTTGCCCTACGCTCTTAGACACAGATGCATACGAAATTATGTTGACAAGAAGTTACAAAAAATTTTTCTTGGAAATTCTTCGGAAAGTTAATTTCGCACTGCTTTATTGATTTAGAACATTATTTTTCGACAGTGTTAGTTAGCAAAATGAAATAAAATAAAATCAGGATAAAATACTAGTTTTTTTAAGGGTGACTCATTCTTATGTTCTTTAAAAGGAATCACATTTTTTCTGACTGACACATAGCACTGCAAACTTCTTTGTTTAGTAACTTTTTGGCACAAACCATTCTGGTTTTTCTGTTTACATATTATGGTATGTGTGTTTTGAATGGATCTAGTCTTGTAAAGCTTAAATAGTACCAAAAAAATGTAAGAAAATTGTGTCTGGTTTTGTGCAAGTTCAACACTTGTCACTGGTAATAATGGAATAATTCCATTTGCAGGTGGGACACCCTTGACAGATAAACAGATACGTGACTGTATAGAGAGAGGTTTTATCAGAGGGAAAGAAGCAAGATCATTGATAGAAGAAACTTTGTGCTCTGTTGATAGATAGCAATGCTACATAAAGGTGCTCTGTTGATAAATAGCAAAGCTACAGAAGTTTGTTTTAGTTTGTACAGCATTCCCCCCCCCCCCCCCCCCATTTTTTTTTGTTTTTACACCATCCCCCCCCCCCCCCCCAATATATTAATAATAATGTATGCAAATGAAATAACTTTGTTTCTGTTATTTATTTAGATAATTAAAAAATTATTTTAAAGTGTTATGATAATAATTTCAATCTCTGTGGGTGAACGCCTCCTAAAAAACCCAAGTGATGGAAAAAGCTCACTTCATAGCAATTTTCTGGACAAGGGAGGGAATCCAGAAACGAAACCCTAAAGATTGGTTGATATTTATTATTGATGTTGATATTTATTATTGATATAGGTTAGCATCATACACTGTGTGATTATTCTACTGGGTACCAGTAATTTTGTTTTTCAGCTTGGGATCTCCTACTTGTCTACCAAGCTTTAAACTCTAAATGTTGAACAATTTGTTTTTTTTTCTTATTGGTGACAAGTTGGACCTGAGAAATATGAATAAATTAAATTTTACTAGTATATGTAGTATATTTACTAGTATATGTACCAGTACCTTGGGCATTTATACCCTTATGGACTTGGATTTGAAGACATTTTCATTTTTTGTTTAATGATTGTTTACCATGGCACATAATTATAGGTGATTTGATCAATGCACATACACAAGTCTGCTTTTAATTTGTACAATATTTTATTTAATTAATGTTCAGCAACGCATTCCAATTTTATCGCATTCCAATTTTATCAAATCTAAATCAAAATGATAATTGAGCTTATCTTCACAATGTGTAAGTAACTGGGCTATTTAGTAAAAGTCTAAGATCTAATTTAAATTAGTCCTTTATGGCGGAGGCTCCAGTTACATGGATAGATACATTCTCATTTTAAATAAATAGTTTCTCATTGAGTTCCTTGTTAAACAAAAGGACAAGTTGTAAATTTATTCATTAGTTTCTGATAACTTGAATTTCAGTTTGATGAGATAATGGTAGATTCATCAGTCTGAGGCTCTTATTCTTATTGATAGCTTCATCAGTCTGAGGCTCTTATTTGTATTGATAGCTTCATCAGCCCGAGGCTATTACTCTTATTCTCATTAAAACGTTTTTTTAAAAAAGCATTTATAATATTGAAGCTTTATTGACTAGGTACGCTGTAGAGAGAAGTATATTTGCAAATATTTAAACTTTTAATTAAAAGCAAATAGATAATTGTTTAACATGCTATACTTGAAATACATTTTCATTATGATACTTAACACTGGTGATAAAGGAAAAACAAAAATAGACACACTACATAGAAATTAATAAGCTACATTAAACTGGACATTAACAAAGTTGTACATGAACAAGTCAGTTTATGAAAGAAAGAATATTTTTTGTAAAATTTACACTGGTAAGTTAATAATGTTACTCTAGGCCAAACTTTTATAGAAGTATCATCACCTGAAAAGTGACAATAATAAAAAAAAAAATTTATCTCAGTATCTGAGACTAACTTGAACTTAACTAAAATTCTGTTAAACCTGGTGTTTTATTTGGAATACTGTTCAACAATAACGTGAGAGAGTTCTCCTTCCCCCATGTCCATGACATTTTCTTGTACATTACATCTTGTCTAACGGCTGGATGCCCAAAATGTTGAAGGAAGCTGCAATCACCATGGCTGTGGCCTCACAAAGCAGCAGTCGACTCATGTTGACTTTGATGATGTTGCCTGCATGGGAAGGTTGAGCGGAACTATAATTTAAACTCATATAAACTCAAAAATAGGTAGAATCAACTAAACTTAATAATAAGAAGAATCAAATAAACTTTTAACAATAGATATAATCAAAAAACGTAATAATTCATTTTTGAATCAAAATGTGACAAGGGGGACAAAAAGAATTCAGGAAAAAAGTGAAATGTTATTTCCCAGCTGCAGGAAAGATAACTCATCTCTATAAACTCACTCCTACCTGTGTTCTTAGCTATCACTATAAACTAACTCCTACCTCTGTGGCCTTGTCCATCTCTGTACAGTACCACCTACCAGTGGCCATGACTTTCTCTATACAGTAACACCTACCAGTGGCCTTGACCTTCTCTGTAACGTAGCACCTACCAGTGGCCTTGTCCTTCTCTATACAGTAGCACTTGTCGTAGAACTCTGTGTACGTGGTCGTCAGCTCGTACAGGTAGTCACAGAGAGTGTGGAGGAGGAGGTCTTCCAGGACCCTGGTGATCACCTCGGGAAACCGCAGGATGCATTTGGCCAGTTTCCACTCTGCCGGGTGGTCGAGCTCTACAGCTGTGGTCTTGGCAGCCTCTTTCAGAGCCTCTGGCTTGACATTGGCACTACGGGCTATGGACCTGGTCAATGGGGAAACATGTTCAATAGAGAAATCATTCTGGTTATTGCTGGGATGCATTTAATGTTTCAATTAACCCGCTACACAATTTCATCAATAAAAGTTTAGTTACACACTAAAACAAAAAAAACAAAAGAATTGATTTAGTTACAATTTTCACTGATACAAAGGCAGGCTACATTTTTTAATGTTTAGATGTTGTAGTGTATTTGACGGGTCACACCCAACAGTTGTTTCAACATGAACTGTCTGGGGTATGTTATATGTTGTAACTTGATATCTACAATAAACATGGCTAATGATACTTGGCCTCTTTAAAATAATGGGTCAGTGTTTTTAGATATTTACGAGAAGAATTAGTTGTATAAATAAACAATCATGCTCTAACGTACCTGATTCTAGTGTTAGCATACAACAAGTAGGCGGCAGTATTTCCTCTGTCGTCCAGCATCTGATATGATGACATAGGAGTTCATTACCAATAATTAAAATGTTGAAACAGAAATCAATAGTAAAATTTAAACAAAAAATAATAATAAATGAAGGACTGCGTTCAAGCTGTGTGAAGGAAATAGTGGGCCTAGGTGTGTGGAAGCTTGAATCGAAAGACCGGACGTTTCGGCTAAGAGCAGTTCTCAGCAGAAAGGAAACGTAAGAAAAAAGACAAGAAATAGAAACTTTTAATTAAAGTACAAGCAACCCAAATGAAATACAGGTTAGAATAGACTTGTTTGTTTCCAGTGGCAGGTGTCAGAAGACTACTTGTGTCACATGTCTCAATGTGTCACCACCTCCATCTTTGTTGATCATGCAGAATCCATATAGTGACGCTTTCACCCACCTCTACCACCTAGTGATGGTATTTCACCCACCTCTACCACCTAGTAATGGTATTTCACCTACCTCTACCACCTAGTGATGGTATTTCACCCACCTCTACCACCTAGTGATGGTATTTCACCCACCTCTACCACCTAGTGATGGTATTTCACCCACCTCTACCACCTGGTGATGGTATTTCACCCACCTCTACCACCTAGTGATGGTATTTCACCCACCTCTACCACCTAGTGATGGTATTTCACCCACCTCTACCACCTAGTGATGGTATTTCACCCACCTCTACCACCTAGTGATGGTATTTCACCCACCTCTACCACCTAGTGATGGTATTTCACCCACCTCTACCACCTAGTGATGGTATTTCACCCACCTCTACCACCTAGTGATGGTATTTCACCCACCTCTACCACCTAGTGATGGTATTTCACCCACCTCTACCACCTAGTGATGGTATTTCACCCACCTCTACCACCTAGTGATGGTATTTCACCCACCTCTACCACCTAGTGATGGTATTTCACCCACCTCTACCACCTAGTGATGGTATTTCACCCACCTCTACCACCTAGTGATGGTATTTCACCCACCTCTACCACCTAGTGATGGTATTTCACCCACCTCTACCACCTAGTGATGGTATTTCACCCACCTCTACCACCTAGTGATGGTATTTCACCCACCTCTACCACCTAGTGATGGTATTTCACCCACCTCTACCACCTAGTGATGGTATTTCACCCACCTCTACCACCTAGTGATGGTATTTCACCCACCTCTACCACCTAGTGATGGTATTTCACCCACCTCTACCACCTAGTGATGGTATTTCACCCACCTCTACCACCTAGTGATGGTATTTCACCCACCTCTACCACCTGGTGATGGTATTTCACCCACCTCTACCACCTAGTGATGGTATTTCACCCACCTCTACCACCTAGTGATGGTATTTCACCCACCTCTACCAACTAGTGATGGTATTTCACCCACCTCTACCACCTAGTGATGGTATTTCACCCACCTCTACCACCTAGTGATGGTATTTCACCCACCTCTACCACCTAGTGATGCCACTGGCAGATGTTTGCTTACCTTGTCAAAGGAGAAGATGTAGTCATGGGTCCTGTTGTGTGACAGGTCGGAATACTTGATACAGCCATAAGCCACAGACTCCTTGACCTTCTCCAGCTCCTCTGGTGTCAGCTCCTATAAGACATGGACAATAAAGTTATTGCCTCTTTAAGACGTGTACACTAAATATAATGCCACTGTAAGTGTAAGGCATGTACACAAACATTAATGCCCCCTTTTAGAAATGTACTTAAAATGAATCCCCCCCCCCCCGCGAGGTGTAGACAAAATGTACTGGCACTGTAAAAGTAAGATATGTACACAAAATGTAAGAAAAGAACCCTGTTACACATGTACACAAAATGTAAGAACCCCGTTACACATGAACACAAAATGTAAGAATCCCTGTTACACATGTACACAAAATGTAAGAACCCACACTGTAACACACGTACACAAAATGTAAGAACCCCTGTTACACATGTACACAAAATGTAAGAACCCCTGTTACACATGTACACAAAATGTAAGAACCCTGTTACACATGTACATAAAATGTAAGAATCCTGTTACGCATGTACACAAAATGTAAGAACCCTGTTACACATGTACACAATATCTCCCGTTGGCAAACATTCAGCACGCAAACCACAACTGGTCCAGTCGTAAGTTTGAGATGATAGTTGATACCACCTCCTCTATCAATATGATGGTCACTACCAATATGATGGTCGCTACCAATATGATGGTCGCCAACAATATGATGGTCATTACCAATATGATGGTCACTACCAATATGATGGTCGCTACCACTATGATGGTGGCTACAACTATTATGGCTGCTATCACTGTGATGGTTACTATCGCTGTGATGGCTGCTATCACAATGTCTGCTATCACCATGATGGCTGTTATCACTATGATGGTTGCTATCACAATGATGGCTGCTATCAAGATGATTGTTGCTATCACTATGATGGCTGCTATCAAGATGATGGTTGCTATCAAGATGATGGTTGCTACCACGATGATGGTTGCTATCACTATGATGGCTGCTATCAAGATGATGGTTGCTATCAAGATGATGGTTGCTATCACGATGATGGTTGCTATCACTTTGATGGTTGCTATCACGATGATGGTTGCTATCACTATGATGGCTGCTATCAAGATGATGGTTGCTATCAAGATGATGGTTGCTATCAAGATGATGGTTGCTATCAAGATGATGAATGCTATCACGATGATGGTTGCTATCACTTTGATGGTTGCTATCACGATGATGGTTGCTATCACTATGATGGCTGCTATCAAGATGATGGTTGCTATCAAGATGATGGTTGCTATCACGATGATGGTTGCTATCACTTTGATGGTTGCTATCACGGTGATGGTTGCTATCACTATGATGGCTGCTATCAAGATGATGGTTGCTATCAATATGATGGTTGCTATCCCTTTGATGGTTGCTATCACTGTGATGGTTGCTATCACGATGATGGTTGCTACCACGATGATGGTTGCTATCGCTGTGATGTTGCTATCGCTGTGATGGTTGCTATTACTGTGATGGTTGCTAGCACTGTGATGGTTGGTATCACGGTGATGGTTGCTATCGTTTTGATGGTTGCTTTCACTAAGATGGGTGCTATCGCTGTGATGGTTCCTATTACTGTGATGGTTGCTATCGTTTTGATGGTTGCTTTCACTAAGATGGGTGCTATCGCTGTGATGGTTCCTATTACTGTGATGGTTGCTATCGTTTTGATGGTTGCTTTCACTAAGATGGGTGCTATCGCTGTGATGGTTCCTATTACTGTGATGGTTGCTATCACGATGCTGGTTGCTATCACGATGATGGTTGCTATTTTTTTATTTATTTATTTAGGCATTTTTATATAGCGCTTACCTTAAAGCTCTAAGCGCTTTACAATTATTAAAAACATGTAAACTAAGTAAAATAAAAATGAGACACTAGGATAGTAACTACTATACTATAGAAACAATTAAAATGGCTATAAAACGAGGACACTTTGGTACGTTTTGGCCTTTACTACAGGATCAACCCGAGACAGAAAATGAGGCAGGGCAAGGAGGGTGCATCACAGGTCATAGGCGGACCAAAACAGATGGGTTTTAATCGACTTTTTAAAAGTGGACGAGGTTTCACAATGACGGATATGGAAGGGGAGCTGGTTCCAGTAAGTGGGCCCATGGAAGTAGAAGATTGGATAATTATTTTATGTACTCCTCAACTCCTCACCCCACTCTTCCAAATCAACCCACACCCCCCACTCTTCCAAATCAACCATCACCCCACTCTTCACATAACAACCCTCACCTCCACTCTTCCTAATCAACCCTCACCCCCATTCTTTCCTAATCAACCCTAACCCACATTCTTCCTAATCAACCCTCAACCCACTCTTCCTAATCAAACCTAATCCCCACTATTCCTAATCAACCCTCACCCCCATTCTTCCAAATCAACCCTCACCCACACTCTTCCTAATCAACCCTCACCCACTCTTTCTAAACAACCATCACCCCACTCTTCCTAATCAACCCTCATCCCCACTCTTCCTAATCAACCCTCACCCACACTCTTCCTAATCAACCCTCACCCCCATTCTTTTCTAATCAACCCTCACCTCTTTCTTCGAAATCAACCCTCACCCCACTCTTCCTTATCAACCCTCACCCCACTCTTCCAAATCATCCCACACCCCCACTCTTCCAAATCAACCCTTACTCCACTCTTCCTTATCAAACCTCACCCCCACTCTTCCTAATCAACCCTCACCCCACTCTTCCAAATCAACCCACACGCCCACTCTTCCAAATCAACCCACACTCCCACACTTCCAAATCAACACTCCGCAACAAGAACACTGTCAAGAAATGGTCCATGTTATATTTCTCATTATCCACCTCAACGTTGTACTGTGGCGTAACAACACTTGGTGTAGATCGACCCCACGCCCCCTTTTTCAACTCACCCATCCTCACCCACCCACAGAGCGTGTAGACCCGTACACGTACAGTGAAGGTCATCAATTTTCCTTTTATAATATTTATCCCAAATTGAAATGCTATCCATCTCTCACCATGCACTTGTCGAAAAGCCCAGCCGTCCCTGAACAGTTTCCATAACAACATCTTAAGGCAATTCCAATGTCTTGACGGATAGCCTTTTTTTTGTTTCTTCTCTCCCTCCGCTCCCTCCATCGCGGGAGAAATCATTGTTTGCGTCCTCTTAGCCCAAGTATTAGCTTTGTTATGAATGTATTCTATTGGGCCAATGTCGCGGAAAACAAATTGTAGAAATAGACAAGGCCACCCACCAGGAAGCCAATTTATAGCTGGTTAAAAAATAAGCTTATGTATGTATAGTCCAAAATCTCATTGCTAACATATAAGACAGTAAAATACGGCACAAGTTCAATTTAGTGTATTTGTCAAAAGTGATATTACAATTTACTTTGTTCGTCAGCGGTTCTCATCTTATTGTCCGCCATTTGGTAGTTGAACTGTATATTTAGATCCTCCACCGAATATCTTCACACTTAATCGCTGCCTCTGACAGCCAACGGGAGCCGAGTGGCATGTGCTCTATTTGCTCCTGGTATCAAGCTGTGCTCCGCCACTGAGCTGAGCACTTTGCTCAATGTCCGTGAGTCCAACAAGGTTAAGATAGTTCTGAGCCCAGTCTACACAATGAGCCTCCCAGAATACACTAATCTTATCCCTTTCCATTTCCAAGAGATCCGCCTGTAATAAACTAATGTTACCCCTCCTTGTCTCCATGGGTGACTAATCATACTTATGTGCATTCGTTTCATTGGGGTTCTAAGACTAATGTAAATAAGCTAATTAACATCAGATTCCTTTGAGTCCCCCAGTGCAGAAAAAAATATATTATTTTTCAGTTTTCTAGAAATACCTATTGACTAACCTTATCTTTCACAATCTTTCGGGCCCCCTATAGGCTAACCATTATCTTTCACAATCTTTCGGGCCCCCTATTGACTAACCTTATCTTTCACAATCTTTCGGGCCCCCTATAGGCTAACCATTATCTTTCACAATCTTTCGGGCCCCCTATTGACTAACGTTATCTTTCACAATCTTTCTGGCCCCTATAGGCTAACTTTATCTTTCACAATCTTTCTGGCCCCTATAGACTAAGCTTATCTTTAGCAATCTTAGGGGCCCCCTATAGGCTAACTTTATCTTTCACAATCTTTCTGGCCCCTATAGACTAAGCTTATCTTTAGCAATCTTAGGGGCCCCTTATATGCTAACCTTATCTTTCACAATCTTTCGGGCCCCTATAGGCTAACTTTATCTTTCACAATCTTTCTGGCCCCTATAGACTAAGCTTATCTTTAGCAATCTTATGGGCCCCTATAGACTAACCTTATCTTTCACAATCTTTCGGGCCCCCTATTGACTAGCCTTATCTTTCACAATCTTACGGGCACCCTATAGGCTAACTTTATCTTTCACAATCTTTCTGGCCCCTATAGACTAAGCTTATCTTTAGCAATCTTACGGGCCCCCTATAGGCTAACCTTATCTTTCACTATCTTTCTGGCCCCTATAGACTAAGCTTATCTTTAGCAATCTTACAGGCCCCCTATAGGCTAACTTTATCTTTCACAATCTTTCTGGCCCCTATAGACTAAGCTTATCTTTAGCAATCTTACGGGCCCCCTATTGACTAACCTTATCTTTCACAATCTTTCGGGCCCCCTATAGGCTAACCATTATCTTTCACAATCTTTCGGGCCCCCTATTGACTAACCTTATCTTTCACAATCTTACAGGCCCCTATAGGCTAACGTTATCTTTCACAATCTTTCTGGCCCCTATAGGCTAACTTTATCTTTCACAATCTTTCTGGCCCCTATAGGCTAACTTTATCTTTCACAATCTTTCTGGCCCCTATAGACTAAGCTTATCTTTAGCAATCTTACGGGCCCCCTATAGGCTAACTTTATCTTTCACAATCTTTCTGGCCCCTATAGACTAAGCTTATCTTTAGCAATCTTAGGGGCCCCTTATATGCTAACCTTATCTTTCACAATCTTTCGGGCCCCTATAGGCTAACTTTATCTTTCACAATCTTTCTGGCCCCTATAGACTAAGCTTATCTTTAGCAATCTTACGGGCCCCCTATAGCCTAACCTTATCTTTCACAATCTTTCGGGCCCCCCCCCCCCTATAAAATAACCATATCGCTTTCTTTTGACCCCCCCCCACAAGAATTTTAGACTAACCTGATATCTCTCACTGCCTTTTAGGTCCCCCAACCGACAAACATCTCTCACAGCCCCTTTAGCTCGACCATAGAGTAACCTTATCTCTCACAGCCCCTTTGGCTCTACCATAGACTAACCTTATCTCTCTCTGTCTCTTTGAGCCTTGCCTCCAGACGTTCAACAGATCCCCCATATTGCCCTTTAGACTAACTTTATCTCTCTCTATCTCTTTGAGCCTTGCCTCCACCCGTTCAACAGATCCCCCATATTGCCCTTTAGACTAACCTTATATCTCTCTATCTCTTTGAGCCTTGCCTCCAGCCGTTCAACAGATCCCCCATATTGCCCTTTAGACTAACCTTATCTCTCTCTGTCTCTTTGAGCCTTGCCTCCAGCCGTTCAACAGATCCCCCATATTGCCCTTTAGACTAACCTTATCTCTCTCCGTCTCTTTGAGCCTTGCCTCCACCCGTTTGATGCCTTCATTCAATAGCTCCCTCAGACGTACCGTGTCACCTGATCGAGACTTAAACTTTTTCCTGCCGAGAAATTAAAAACAAACAAACCTTTAAAGAATCTCTTAGACGGAATTTTCTCTGTGTCTCAGGGAAAAGCAAATATTAGATAAAACAAAAAAACATCAACTCCAACATTTTGTAGAATTTCTGTGCTGAAGGCGCATGCGTAGATTTGTAATTTGATGGTGAAATTAATGACGTAGACAAACTGTTAAAAAGAGGTTAAAATTTATTACGGTTGTTATAATTTTATTGCAAGAGGGAGCATCTTTTGTGTACGGTACAGCACATTAGCTGGGGTACGGTAGGTGGAGTACGGTAGGTGGAGTACGGTAGGTTAGATACGGCAGGTTGGGCATAATAGGTGGGGTACGGTAGGTTGGATACGGTAGGTTGGGCATAATAGGTGGGGTACGGTAGGTTGGATACGGTAGGTTGGGCATAATAGGTGGGGTACGGTAGGTTGGATACGGTAGGTGGGGTACGGTAGGTTGGATACGGTAGGTGGGGTACGGTAGGTTGGATACGGTAGGTGGGGTACGGTAGGTTGGATACGGTAGGTGGGGTACGGTAGGTTGGATACGGTAGGTGGGGTACGGTAGGTTCGATACGGTAGGTGGGGTACGGTAGGTTGGATACGGTAGGTGGATTACGGTAGGTGGATTACGGTAGGTTGGATACGGTAGGTTGGATACGGTAGGTGGGGTACGGTAGGTGGGGTAAAGTAGGTTGGATACGGTAGGTGGATTACGGTAGGTTGGGTACGGTAGGTTGGGTACGGCAGGTTGGGTACGCCAGCTCATTGGGCGGTTTAGGATAGACCTAAATGAAATTGAGACCTCGGAGTTGTTTTTTGAATGGACTCAAACCAAAAAAGCTCTTCCCCATCACGTGTTTCAGAGCACCAATAAACCCTTGCCAATCGCAACATTTCTTTCCCATGAAAACCTCCTCATAGTGAATGCGATGACCACAAAGCCGACCGGCTACTCAGGGAAGGCAACATTACGTCGTCTATTCTGTAAAGCTACCCCCCCCCCCACACACACACACTCCCGAAAAAGGCCGTTGTCCCACTATTGACTGACCTACAACAACACATGGCTACAAGACAGACTTAGGATGGCACGTTGTTCATACGAGAATGTGACCCAGGGTCTATTGATCTCACCAGTACGAGGACTCCCAAATGGTAAGAAGGCAATCCCACGGAATGTTATTATGATGTTTTCCCCTCCACTTGTCCCATCAGAGGTCACTGATCGGTCAAGGCCTCCTCTGTTGTGTCCCGCGGCCTACGTCAAACATAAACACGTAAGTCGCACATTGGCCCTGCACAACCTACGGCCCGCAGGCCGCATGCGGGCCACCAGCACCCACTTCGCGGCCCGCGAAACAACGAAATATTCTTTATTATTTTCTTCATAGCTTTCGGCCCGCACAAGTTGTTCATTACGCAACATGGCACGCCTTAAACTTTGAGTTGTGCAGGCGTGTCGTACATGATACTATCTTATTGAGTTGTGCAGGCGTGTCGTACATGATAACTATCTTATTGAGTTGTGCAGGCGTGTCGTACATGATAACTATCTTATTGAGTTGTGCAGGCGTGTCGTACATGATACTATCTTATTGAGTTGTGAAGGCGTGTCGTACATGATACTATCTTATTGAGTTGTGCAGGCGTGTCGTACATGATACTATCTTATTGAGTTGTGCAGGCGTGTCGTACATGATACTATCTTATTGAAACTATCTTATTGAGTTGTGAAGGCGTGTCGTACATGATACTATCTTATTGAGTTGTGCAGGCGTGTCGTACATGATACTATCTTATTGAGTTGTGCAGGCGTGTCGTACATGATACTATCTTATTGATTTGTTTAGGCGTGTCGTACATGATAACTATCTTATTGAGTTGTGAAGGCGTGTCGTACATGATAACTATCTTATTGAGTTGTGCAGGCGTGTCGTACATGATACTATCTTATTGAGTTGTGAAGGCGTGTCGTACATGATACTATCTTATTGAGTTGTGAAGGCGTGTCGTACATGATACTATCTTATTGAGTTGTGCAGGCGTGTCGTACATGATACTATCTTATTGAGTTGTGTAGGCGTGTCGTACATGATACTATCTTATTGAGTTGTGCAGGCGTGTCGTACATGATACTATCTTATTGAGTTGTGCAGGCGTGTCGTACATGATACTATCTTATTGAGTTGTGCAGGCGTGTCGTACATGATACTATCTTATTGAGTTGTGCAGGCGTGTCGTACATGATACTATCTTATTGAGTTGTGCAGGCGTGTCGTACATGATA